TATATATATATATATATATATATATATATATATATATATATATATATATCCAATGAAAAAAGTCAGAAATCACAAATCTCGAAAATCATTTTTACTGATAGCGCTTTCTGCCTAATGGCTCTTCAGACAGTTAAAAGTTAAATATAAAATTGCTTAGTAACGTTCATAAGCACGACGTCAAGTATTGTCCATTGTGACGTCATAATAACGTTAAAAGGTAGCATTATAATTCGCACCGTTACAATCACTTAAATAAACCAAAAAACAAGTAGAAAATAACTTTAGTTAAAACTGAAGTAATTATTTTCTGTTAAGTTTTGGGTTAAATAGTTTAATGAAGTAGTCCTCCTTTGCTACTCTGGATATTTCACAGTCATTGTGCATTTTATAAAATGGAAATAATTTAAATTTCCCTTTCCCACAGGTAGCAAAGTGCTCACTGCACGGCGTATTCCTTACGCTAGGGTCCCGATTTTGTTGTTTATGGACTCGCACTCGTGCGTTCAGTTTGCCGGTTTGTCCTATGTACAGCGCTATGACAAAAGTATTCGCGATTTTTCAAAATGGCGGACGTAAACACGATGCGCTTCGTAAAAATAAACAATAAATTGTGAAACAAATAACAGACTTACCTTTATTAATACTTGGTCAGGTGGCCCTTAGACTTGATTACTGCTAATAGTCGACGGGGAATAGATTCATACAAGGATTTGATATAGTTTTCGTCGAAGGAAGTCCAGATGTGTAAAATAGCATCGAACAATTCTTCCGGAGTCTTTATGTTTGGAGCTCGATTTTGCAGAGTTCTCTTGATTTTTAGCCATAAATTCTCTATAATATTAATGTCCGGTGATTGAGCTGGCCATACAATTGTAGGAATATTATTTTGTTGTTTGTAATCTACAGTAATACGAGCTCTATGGACGGGGGCGTTGTCGTCTTGAAAACGATAGGTTTTGTTGAGGAAATGTCGGGCAATGACGGGCCAAAGTTGATCTTCTAAAATGGATATGTATTTTACTGCATTAATATTTCCATTGACCATGCAAAGTGTACCAACCCCATGGTAAGTGATGCATCCCCACACCATTACCGAAATCCTTCTCTGCCGAGGGGGGCACATGCACTGTGGCAAGTACGATTCTTTAGATGTTCTCCACACATACACTCTATGATTCTCTCCTAAAACTATCTGTATTTCATCAGAAATTATAACAGTGTTCCAATGGTTTTTCACTGTGAGTTTTCTTTTTTCTTAACACCAGGCAACACGCCTTTTGATCTCGGAAACGACCATTTTTTTTCTAACAATTCTTCGCTTATAATCATGATCACGCAAAAATCTTTGGACTGTCCGTGGATTAACAAAGTCATTAGCACCCCTGCTTTCATTAAATTCATTAGTAATATCCTTTAAAACCCGTCCTCTGTTAGTTTTAGTATGTCTAATAATCCAGTTCTGATCTCGTTTTGACAGCTTCCGAGGGCGTCCTTTTCTTTTCAATGTTTTGACTTCACCAGTTGACAAATATTTTTTCCAAATAGATCTGATGGTTGACTCAGGTATTTGTAATAAATTCACAATTTCTGATGTTTTTTGCCCCTCCTTTTTCATTTCCACAATTAATTTTTTGACATCTTTTGATATTTCTGTAGATTTCCTACCCATCGTAATATCTGTGTGTTTACATAAAATCCAAGACAGCAGACGATAAAAATACTTACATGGGTCATTTTCAAAAAAAGTCTATTTTTTGAATGACATATTTTGAAAAATGAAAGTGGTTTTACTATGATTTTTTCAACTTTATTTGAATAATATAGTAATAAACTACTAAAATCCACTGCATTGCATAAAAGAAAATATTTCTTTTAAAAAATATTGACATTTTATCTTTGTCATTTAAACTTTAATGTCCTTCCTGTTACTTTCATAAAAAGAGCTGTAAAACTCTATTTCAAAATTTTCATCAAATTATCTTTTGTATACCGTTAATAAATGAAAAAATCATCATTGAATGCCAAGATGTTTGACATTCATCTAATATATGAGCGTTTAAAAGCATGTCAAACTACCATATACCAAACAGAAGCAAAATCTACGGGTTTTTCTTCATGAAAAGCCTTATTGCAGAATGTTTATATGCCATAGTTGAAAAAAACATTATTGTACATTATTTTTGTGATTAGAATAAACAGTTACAGAAAGTTATTTAAACAGGTGCTCTGCCAAAGCAATTTAAACTAGGAAAATATACTGGTAACAGTAAGGACTCAGGTAACAGGAAGGACAAAACAGTAACAGGATGGACAAAACAGTGTAACAGGATGGACAATGAAATCTACATTTTAAATAAAAATTGACTTTTTAAAAAATTTATTGGTAGGAAAAGAGTAATAATTGTAGAATTAAAAAAAATGATTTTGTCAAATCTGGCAAATTTGAGACAATAAAAGACATTTATGTCCATCCTGTTACGAAATTTAATTCTAAGGTGCTATTAAAATATTTATCAGTTCAATTTTTGTTTATTAAAGGTACTCTATGCTGTTGCAAAACTAAGAATTTTTCATAATTTTAAGAAAAACAAATGATGAAACTTAAATAGGTATATAAATACCAGGATAATTTGTCCCTCCTGTTACAATTTTTGTCCATTCTGTTACAAGAGTGCATGTTTAAGTTATAATGGCACAATTTGAAGCATTAACTTATTTCAATATGATTTACGAAATTTTCTAACATGTGTTATTAAACTTATATTACTTAGAAAAATAAAAGTAATTGTTTTTATTGTTAAAACTCAAGATATGAAGTCCAGTTTTCCTTACTGTTACCATATTAATGGTAACAGTAATGACAGTAACAGGATGGACATTTCTCATATAAATCACCGGTTATTTAGTATAACGTACTCTTTTTGCATCATCAAGACATTGAAACAGTTTCTTTGTAACTTAGTAAATCTGATTGTTTTAGCAGAATAAACAATTTAAAGAGAACTTGCATATTATGAAGGTAACAGATAGGACATATTTACATTATACTCTACCAATAAGACAAACTTATCGACCTTTCAACCCTTTCTTTACTCACTTTCAAATCATGGCGCTCATAAACTTGAGACAACAGAAAATGATGATATATTGTGGATCATGAAAACAGTTCCTAGGAAAGTGAGATAACTTTTATTTTAACATTTTCTTGTTGGTAACAGGAATGACATAAACTGGAAGGACATGTCACTTCCTGAATGTTAAATGCACAATACTAGTCTTTAGTGGGCGGCATAAGTAAAACAATCATATTAAATTAATCTGTAAATGAATTCAATTAATATGAGGTGCAAAATTTGTACATATCTTCACATGGTAATATTTTCCCTATAATTCAAATAAGCGCGTTATAAAATTTTTGTTAATGTGACATGGTTTTACTGTTAAATTTTACTCGGAATGCAGAGAATATTTTTTATAAAACACCTGGCAGATGATCAAAAAATAACTTCTAAGCTGTATGACCATGTATATTAACCAACGGAAAAAAAAAATTCACTCTAAAAAAATGTTTTCCTATTATTCTGATCAAAAGACAAAAAAGTAGACTTTTTTTGAAAATGACCCACGTATATAACGTCACTTCCGATGTGAAGACAACTCTGTAAAAATTTCGTATGTCAACACGGCATCTAATTAGAGTTATTGCCCATTCCCCGAGCGAGGCGCAGCGCAAGAAAGACGCCATTGCGTAAAAATCGCGAATACTTTTGTCATAGCGCTGTAGTTTTCATCACTATATTTATTATATTATATATATGTATATTGCTACCCAAAGAAGGTCTCCAAACTGGAAATACAATTGTGAAATATGAAAGCCCTAACACCATCTGTTCCCAAGTTATGGTCAGGTTAAAGTTTTTTCATAAGTACAGAAATTTTCATGATCAAGGTGAAAAGGTCAAAGATTATAAGTATCCAATGAAATGTCTTGCCACAAAGAAAACATATATGAAGTATGGAAGCCCTGGCCCTCACCGTTAAAAAATTATGACCAATGTTCATCAGATTTTAAAAGTAGGTCAAACTCCAAGATCAAGGTCAGAAGGTCAAGGTTATTGGTATTCAATAAAAGGTCTTGTCACAAGGATTACATATGTGAAGAATGAAAGCCCTAGCCCTTACCGTTCAAAAGTTATTGCCAAGGTTAAAGTTTATCATAAGTACGGAAATTTCCAAAGATCAAGGTTATTGGTATCCAATAAACGTTCTCGCCACATAAAATACATATTTGAAGTATGGATGCCCTAGCCCTAACCGTTAAAAAGTTATGGCCAAGGTTAAAAATTTTAAAAAGTAGGTCAAACTCCAAGGTCAAGGTCAAAGGGTCAAAGTTCTTGGTATCCTATGAAGGGTCTTTTCACAAAAATTACATATGTGAAGTATGAAGACCCTACCCCTTACCGTTCAAAAGTTATGGCCAAGGTTAAAGTTTTTTCATAAGTACGGAAATCTCCAAGGTCAAGGTCAAAAGGTCAAGGTTGGTGGTATCCATGAAAGGTCTTGCCACAAAGAATACATATGTGAAGTATAAATTTCCTGGTAACTACTGTTTAAAAGATATGGCCAAAGTAAAAGTTTGGAATTTTTGTGTTAAAGTGGGTCAAACTCCAAGGTCAAGGTCAAAAGGTCAAAGTTGGTGGTACCCAAAGAAAGGTCTTGTCACAAGGAATACGCATGTACAATATGAAATTCATAGCTCCACTAAATCAAAAGTTATGGGCACGGTTAAAGTTTTTGCGGACAAACAGACAAATAGAGAGACAGACAGAGAGACAGCTAGACAGACAGAGAGACAGACAGACAGCTAGACGGACGGACACGACAAAAACTATATACCCCCGAAACTTCGTTTACGGGAGCATAAAAATAAACGTGAAAATCAAACGCGCAATCTATTGGCTCTTTCACAATCCGGAATTATGTCATTCCTGTTTGCTTTGGGTTTTCGTCTCGCCTCTACCTGACTCTACCGGAAAGTTCATATTCAACAGATCGGAGCATTTCGACATTACAAGTGTAAAAGATGGCAGACAGAACCGTTGTTGTCGCAGTGGACGGTAGTGATCAGGCAGACAAGGCCTTTAAGTGTAAGTTTATTTTATTTTTTTATCTTAAACACAACGAGAGAATGTCAAATAACAGTTTAAACCGTCTCTATATTTTTAGCTATTCGACATAGTGACGACGTATTGGGTTAATCACCTGTAAAGAATTTCGGTTAGGGTACCTCGTTTTTTAAAACGACCTTTGAGGAAATGACATAGGAGGAAAAATTTACTTGTGCAGCCATTTTCCCCCTTTTATATTTGAGATCAGTAAGTTCTTATCGCGATAAGTGATGAGATCCTGTGGGTGTGTCATTTTGACCTTCAAGCTTTAGGGAGGTGTCTCTATTAAACAGTCTGGAATCATTTTTTCTATCTCTGGTCCATTTAAAGGTCTTTTGAAAATAAATTCCAAGAAGTGAATATTGATCTTATGTTTGGTGTTCATTTAGGTAGAGTGGGTTGGTTTTTTTTTATTTTAAATACATCATGACACACGTGTACAAGATTCCTGTGGTGTGTTAGGCCTAATGAATGACTCGACCTAAAATATCACATTCAGTAGAGTAGTTCCTATTCATATAACTTACCTCAGGTATTTGACCTAGATGTAAATATAGGTCAGATAAGTAGGGTATTGTCCTCACAAAGTTAAGTGCCTGGGAGCTTGTAGTTCCTGGATCAGGAAAGTGAATGACAGGACGAAAGAAAATCTGAGAAATCATTTATAAAAGTTGACCCAGCTCAAATTGTTCCTTAACATGCTTAATATTCATAATGATTAAACTTTCTTAAAAAAAATAAAAATATCTTATTGAATTAAATCTGATGGGTTAATTAAAGGACTTAACCTTAGGACTGGTAAAACAACTATTTTTTTTTATGGTTTAAGAACTTTGAGTTTGACAAACATGAATCCTGCAAGCTGAATTTATGCTAGTGAGATTGTAATCTCTGTTGAGATTCTAATGGCTGTCCAGAGATTCTGCGGGCGTCAGTCCAAATATCTAGCCCAGCAGAATCTCAACAGAGATTAGTGAGATTGTAAATTTAAAAAAAATCCTAACATGTTCTAGGAAATGATTTGTAGATAGTGCCCAGGAATTGTAAAGATTATTCCTTTGGAAGTTATGAATGAAAACAGAATTACCCTCTACCCCAGGGCAGGGTTGTCCATAAGACCCGATTTACTGCCTAGTATGATGTTATCCTCTGGTCATTTTGGTATTCCCCCTAAAACCCTTGTTAGGGGAGGGATTCCAATCCTCCCCTCTGGCCTCTACTGTTTAAATGTTCCCTGGTATTTCAGCCCTGTCAAGGTATAAACTTTGCCCTAGCTATACTTCACAACAAATCGTATTTGGCAGACAGGTGCAACGGAATGAAGGAATAATAACAATAACAATTGACAGCATTTATTTATACATTAATTCCCCATGTGTTGGTTTACTAGGGAATGTGCAGTATAACAGATTTTTCTTCCCAGTACACAAATATCCATCAAGCCTCTGTGAATGCCACACATAGGGTTGTCTATTGCCTTGTCAAACTAACAACTGGTATTTGGCCTGGAGGTAAAGATTTTATTAGTGTAGATGTGGCCTGTCTAACTGAAATTAAAGCTATTAATCCCAAATCCTAGAGTGAAATATGTAGGAATTGATTTTCCTATGAGAAATGAGTTTCACAAATTTCCTTCCATAGGGTTATTTAAAAAAAAAAAAGATTTGTTCACAGTTGTTGTAATAAATGCATGGTACATGACATTTAATAGAGATATATAAATTTTTAAATGGAAAAAAAGTTAGCAATGCATGGACATCTTTAAACTAGTTCACATAATATGATTAAGATGTTTTTAATTCTTCAAGTTTAAAGATCAGATATATTGTCCGATTGCCATGTGATAAAACTAAAATTAGCATATCGACATTTTAATCAGTTTAAAGTCTAAGGTATAAATTTACATATGAATATGAACATAATAAATGGAGCTTAATGTTGTTGTCTTATAAAAATCATTTGTTATACGCCCGTCTTAAGACGGGACGTATTATGTTATAGGCTTCATGTCCGTCCGTCCGTCTGTCCGTCCGTCCGTCTGTCCGTCTGTCCATTCCTGTCCGGCTCATAACTTGAATACTATTAGGTCTAGGATTATCAAACTTTGTCAACTTATACTTCTTGGGTAGACGGTGTGTCGCGCACAAAAAGTAGGTCGCTATGACCTTTAATAAAGATGCTATGGCCAAATATGGAAAAATCCTGTCCGGCTCATAACTAGAAAACTATATGACCTAGAGCTTTCAAACTTGGCAAAAGTATACATCTAAAGTAGAAGGTGTGTCACAGCCCATTCAAGGTCATTGTGACCTTTAATTAAAGTGAATTTTAAAAAAAAAAACTAAGTTTTTTAAATTCTTTATTGCATAATCCTAAAAAATGTAAAAATATAGTTGTATCCTTATTAAAAAATGTTTAATTTAGTAAAAACTTATTTTTTCATTATATACTTTACAGCAATCTGTAACAAATGTTTATGCTTTGAGAGGAATTCAGTTTGTCCCATGGGCATAATTATCAAGCACTGGTCAAGAAGAATTTTGATAGCAGAAATTTGCATGTCAAATTAGAGAGAAATTAATGAGTTTATTGTCAGGAGCTAAGAGCAACTCTAGATCTGATGGAGCTGTAATCTTAATTTATCTCTTGGGAGTTGGGCAAAAAGAAATGGCCTCATAGTTGCTTGTGTTAATTAAGAGTTCTTGATGGCTAGTCCAGATAAAGATCTTTCAATTGGTGAAATGTAATTAAAACAAATTGATGTTTTAGTGTATGATTTAAAATAAATTAGTATTGTATAATATGATTAAAACTTATTATACATGTGTTCATTGAAAAAAAAAATTATGTTTCAATTTTTAGGTCACCTGAGTAAACTCAGGTGACCTATTGCTATCCGTTTTCGTCCGTCGTCGTGCGTCGTCCGTCGTCCGTCGTGCGCCGTGCGTTAACATTTGAACATTTTCAGCTTCTTCTCTGCAACCACTGAACCAATTTCAACCAAATTTGGCACAAAGCATCTATGGGTGAAGGGGAACAAAAATTGTGAATTTCATGGTCCCTCCCCCCTGGGGCCAGGGGTGTGACCAGGACCACTAAAATTAGTGCAATCTTTAAAAATCTTCTTCTTTACTCCTGGACATCAAGCAGTCAAACTGTTTGCATGATTGTAATCAGCAATGAGTCCTCTACCAAAATTGTGAAATTCATGGCCCTGGGGTCAGGGGTTCAAGTGCTAGGGCGGGGCTCAATAAGTAGGTAGTGAAAATGCATTATTTCTTTGAAAATCTTCTTCTCTGCTCCTGGGTATTAAATAAACCAACTAAGTACATAGTTGTGATGAGCAAGAGTGCCTCTACCAAAATTGTGAATTTTATGGCCCAAGGGTCAGGGGTTCTGGTGTAAGGGTGGGGCTCTATTGATTATATAGTGAAAATACATGAATTCTTTGAAAATCTTCTTCTCTGCTCCTGGGTATTAAATAAACTAACTAAGTACATAGTTATAATGAGCAAGAGTGCCTCTACCAAAATTGTGAAATTTATGGCCCCAGGGTCAGGGGTTCTTGTTTTAGGGTGGGGCTCTAATAGTGAAATGCATGAATTCTTTGAACATCTTATCCTTTGCTTTTGGTTAATATACTAATGACCTAATTACATATTTAAGGCCAGGATTTATTTTATTTTCAGTTTTACAAACCCTTTGCTCAAGGTTTTGAATTTTCAGGGAAAAAAATAAAACAATTTTTTTTCTTTCCGATGTCAAATTTGAGTCGGGATCGAGATTTCAAATTTATGAACTCGCACTTCCGGTTTAACATGAAACGGCGGGTAAAAAAGCTAGATCTGAGCTTGGTTTAGTGTAAAATTCATCGAAACAAGTGCCATTCAAAACGTTTCACCCGTTCAAAGGACAAATAAAATGTTGAAGACTTTGCTGCACAATGACATGCTGGTGAGATAATTATGTATTCGTTTCAAAAGTATCTGTAAACTATTTTCCTCCTTCAGGTTTCTAAACTGCCCATGGTAGCTATTGCATATTGCCAGCGACATTGTTACAGTTTAGGTCTCTGTTATAGCTTACAGTCTAAGCATCATTCTTCAAAAAAAGGTTGATTATGCATCAGATGTAATGAATAAAACTATGGGAGAAGTTAAGTCCATTTGAGGTGAAATAAACAATAACCTGAAGAAATACACAAAAAAAAAATTCAACTATTAAAAGGCGACAAGAATATACAAATATATACAGGCAAGTAGTATCAATTGTATCAGCCAGAAAAATTATTTTACACTTAATTGAAAAAATGTTCACCATACTTCCCAATACTCCCTGTCTGTTTTATGATAGGAATTATAATTTTAGGCATCAAGTAAATTTTAGAAAGTTGTCTACACATTCACCTAACACATATGTAAAAAATGAAGATAAATTGAAAGACTTTTAAAGAATTGATTTTTTAAAAAATATTTTAACCAACATCACAAAATTTATATAACTGGCCCAAACTGGCAGATGATGAAATAAGCAATTAAATGTTCTACTTTCCTATTTGTAAGTATTACGTGTCCAGTTGTAAGGAGCCTATTAGAATGGCATAAAAAAAGAATGCACAAATGTTTATTATTGATTTATCAAAAATCATGTTCATAACTAAACCTAAACATTAAAAAAATGCTGGCCTTATAATGAAGAAAGAAGTCTCTTTCAAAATAGATAATTTCAGGGCCGCTGGGTCAGGGGTACCACGGGGGTACTTGACTAAAATTAGATTAATGCTTTGAAATCTGCCCTTTGATAAGCAATGGTGCCTCCTTCAAAATTTGTGAATTTCATGGCCTTTTGATTAAAACACGAACCAAATACAATCACTGGAAAGTTGTTACATGATACTCAGGTGACCTATAAGGCCCGTGGGCCTCTTGTTATATATTTGCAACAAATTGCAGTCATGTTATAGTCTGAAGAATAATTTATGTTTGATTTTTATCAGACTAGCATTTCATAAAATATGCAATAAACTATTTAAAGCTGCAGATGGATATTGTTATGCTCTAACACAACCAGTTTAGAATTATATGGTGTATTATTTTTTATAATCAGTCCATACACTGTAACTAAGGCTCTTAGAGAAGTATGATAAGAAATGGAAATTACATAATTGAAATCTGTGTCAATCTGTTAATCAAGGCTACCTGATTTTCTTGCATCCTAACCAATTCATGATTATTGAACAATATTTGACGGGCGTATCATGCTGTGGCGGGGCACTTTATTTTATTAATGACCCATGTAAAGCACATCATCACAACATCCTTTTAATAAATGGTAACTAAACCGGTTTTAAATATTCAATCAGAATGATTATGACCTAGCTAGTTTGTACCAGCAAGGTATAAGTAATACCACCCCCCCCCCAAAAAAAAAACTGGTACTCTTTTCATTTATTACATCTGAGTTGTCAGTTAGGTCCATATTATTTAAGTGTAAGTGTTTACTGTTTACAGCTAGTCTCTGCTTGTAAGCACTTGTAATACTAACTAAATAATACTAATGTAATACTAATACTAACTAAAGCAGATGCTAAAAAGTCATCTATTCATTTAAAATGCATGTTGACCGCTTGAAGGAAGTATTTTGCACAAGGACTCGACAGATTTATGAAAAGTATGGTGTAATATCATTCCCCCCTAAAGAAATGCCTTGGGGGGGGGGGGGGTATGTTATTGTAAGAAAAAAACTTTTTTAAGATACAAATTAACACAGTATATTTTGATAATGCAATGATTAAACAAATCTAGAGGACGTTTATTTTTCACTTGAGAAATTAAGAATATGCTGGTCACAATTTTTTAAGGGTTTTTGTCACATAATGACATTAAAAATCTATTTAAGACATATACAGTGTGCAAAAGCGATCACAAATCAGTGTAATTTTCTCTCACATACTGAACAGAATTTGTGATCCTGTCCCATGCATGCAAAAAAAGTATTGACAATATCTGGCCATTATCGTAAATCACCTAATTATTACAGTACTCTATAAATAGTTTTAGGAGACTCTATGTTTGGTACAGTACTTCAAAAACAGATAGTTAAATATTATGCCAGTGCATGTACCTATTATGATGTTGAACTAAGAGCTCTGACTTCAACATCTGTCGCCATATAATGACATGTGTTGCATCCAGTGTGATTAGACCTTATAAACTATTTGGACACTGTTATACCTATAATATTTGTAGTAATTAGGTTCAACAGTATGCATGGTATGCGATATGCATATTACGTAATTTCAAAGTTAATTATCCAGCTGTTTATAGCTTTAAGCATTAAACAGAAAGGTGTAAAAAAGAATGTTTGATAAATGTGTATGCTGTAACTTAGCCTACATGAATAAATGAAGCCGGTATGAAAATTGTGTGAAGATATGGTACAACTGGTACAGTAATGTATATTCAAAAGTATGCCATGCCATGGACATGTAGTACTGAAGGTGAAAAGGTCATGAGCTAATTCATTTAGCTGTTCCTCTGAAATTTGAGGACAATTAAAATTTGCGTAGAAGAAAAGTTATGGAATTAGAGGCTGTTTTATTTTTTTAATTTCCTTAAAATTATATAACTATGGCAACTATAGGCTATAGTACTGAAATTTGAATGAATTTCATTTTTTGTGAGGAAGGAAAGTAAATGTAGGTTTGACAATTTATAGTAAGACATAGCTGAGAAGAAGAGCAGGAATAAATCACTGTCACTTTGAAGTGTCCTTCTTGACTTCTGCCTGCAGGCGTACAGCGTCGCGTACTGAATAAATGCTCATACTGAATAAACACGCACTCAAATAGGAAAGTTATAGGTGACCTCTATTCAAACGAATATCTCGTAATCATTAGAAATTCCTTTCTAGAATATTGTAGCTGTTTTAATTATTTAATTTCAGTGTCATGCATATACCTTATTTATTACAAATTTATTCAAGTGTATGTATACACATTCAGTTTTGCCATATTATATGTAACACTGTTCTTCCATGAGGTGCAGGGAAGGATTTCCTGAATATGCACTTGCAGGAAATTATTTTTATAAAGACAGCAAAACTGACATGAACAATTGATCTATTTATAGTCTGTGCTTGATTTAACCCAGGTTAAACCAAGTTCAGTGGTAAAGCTAGTCTAGATATCGCCTGACTGGGTATATTGATTAAAAGTGATATTTACCTCAGACACAATTCACTTCATTATTCATTGTGAAAACACATCTCTTTTAATGTGTTAACCCTGTTTTAAGACACTATTTAGTCATGTTCAGTCTGTCTAAAGGGTTTTCATCGTGTGTCATTTCCGTCCCATTTCTGACTTTAATTAATGGTGGTTGTAAAACCATTAAAGCAAAGTATAAAAGTGACATCAATAAATTGTGTCAAGCTTAAATTCTGTGGATTTAGGTACCACTAATTGTCAATGTTTTGTAGAAATGGGAAAAAATACAATACATGTAATAAGGTAGTGATATAAAATGCAGTCTTGTGTAAATCTGTTTGTTGATATCCAATATAATTTAATTTGTTGATATCCAATATAATTTGCCAATTCTTTTATCAATTTGATCACTTGCTCTCTCTTTTTTTTAAAAAAAATTTGAAAAGGGGGGGGGTGCTACCCATTTGGTGCTTCTTTTAAACTGTACCAATTTTTCAGTGTTTTTCTTTTGAAGGGTATTGCGAGAATGTGTATCGTGCAGGAGACCATGTTATTGTGGTATTTGGAGCAGAATACAAAGTTTCTTTCATGCGTAAGTATAAAAAATTACATGTTACTAAAGATTTTAAATGTTACTTCATTTCTAAGAAGTGCACAAAAAATAATTATCCAACATTTTCAAAGAAATAGGCAAAAGTGATCAGCATTTGAAATTGGCTAAGTCTCCTTAAGTGTTAGTGTGTTTCACATATATGTGTAATATTCTGATTTGCATTTGGTTAATACAAATTGAATTACTTACCAGGTAACAAATTTGGTAGAATTGCCTTTTTAACAAGCTTTTAAAAAGTAATAGTCATTTATTACAAAGAGAGTTATCTCTCTTATCAGAGGGTTGATGAACCTTAAGTATTTTTGACCTTTGATTGACAGCTGGGCAGGTGTCTGAGACCAGGCTGAAGGAGATTCAGGATGAGATGTCCAAAGAACACCAGAGAGTGGAGGCCCTGACCAATAAATATGTCTCGCAGCTCAGAGAAAGAAATGTGAGTATCAACCCACGGGCTAATGTCTGATCTCAACCAGTTTTACTTAAGGAATTAATTGTGGAAAAGTAAGGCAGAGATCAGAAGAGAGCTCAGCTAAGTTTTATGGTTCCTGGATCATTGCAGAACATTTTGGATTTTTTTTTGAGTAGTCAGTGTGTACACTTGCTAGGGGTGGGATGATACACCGATACATACCGATATTTTCCTCCAAGATACGGTTTACGATACAAGCATTCAAATATCGGTATGAAACGATACACGAACGACCTATCCAAAAAATTGAAAATGAAAGTACCTGTCCTTGGAAAATGGCGGCTTGTACAAAGCGAAGAGATGATGTTGATATTGAAAACACACTTTAGAACTAATAAGTCGTTGGTTAGGGGTAAAACGTTTTCACTTTTAAGCGGCCTCGGAAGATTGGGCAAGAAAAGTTCAGTATGTAATACGTGCTATACACAGAAAATATCGTTTCCAGAACATTTGATATATTACAGTGTAATTGTTAGTCCATCTCGTACTTTTTTTTGTAATCTCAACTTGGCTACAGACTTTCAGCAATGAATTAATAATAATGTAAATGTGATCGATGTTTTTTAAATAAATTTTTAGTCAGTGTTCTCGGATGAACTACACAACTATTTGTAAACAACTTCTGAAGAGTAATTTTGTAATAATAATATGTACATGTATTAATGTTTTTGTAAAGTTTTAGTCAATGAAATTGATGAACTTCAAGTATTAATTTCAAAGCAAACATAATTTGATATAGAATAACTTGTTGATTTAATGTCATGACAAAAAAAAAGAAATAAAATATTAATTTTTTTGAATAATTTATAATTTATCATAATATCGAGATACGTATCATATCATGCCAATGTATCGAGATATGTATTGTATCGCACGATGTGTGTATCGTCCTACCCCTAACACTTGCACAGAAATTTAAAACCTTTAACAAATACTTTATGCAAGCAGTATCTATTGTTGCTACTTGTTTGTGCACAAATTACCTTTTAACAAAAGTCTGTGAAATAAGGGCAGCAATCAAATAAAAAATCTGTGTCAGTGAGTTAAAGGGATTTTCAGAAAGCAAGTTCTTCAGAAATCATTCCCAGATTGATGTGTCAATACATTGTGTACTCAAGTTCCTATTTAAAATGATAACATTGAACACAATATTTGTCAAAAGGGCTTTGAATCTGCATTATTTCCTGTCAAAATATAAACCTGATCTGGTGATGAAGAAAAAAATGTAAGAAATATTAAGTACCGTATATACTCCCTATAAGTCGGATTTTTTGGAGTTAAGCTCTTGTCTAAAACGCTATGTCCGACTTATAGGCGAGCTATAAAACGAATGGTATTATATGAGGTCAGTCCCTCTGATATATCAGCTTATTAAATACAACCGACTTATAGGCGGACCGACTTATAGGCGAGTATATACGGTAGATAATATATAATGATACAACCCATTTTACAGATCAAGGGGGAGGCAACTCCAATCACTGGAAAGAAACCAGAGGAAGCCATCATTTCTAAAGCGGAGGAGGTAGGAGCAGCTATGATCGTCATGGGAACCCGGGGCCTAGGAACAATTCGTCGCACCTTGATGGGCAGCGTCAGCGATTACATCGTACACCACGCAAGGATACCAGTGATTGTGGTCCGCGATTCATGATCACACAACTAGGATTTAAACACATGATGCCGCAATAATTCTTCAAAAAGTTTCTTTACACCTAGGAGCTTTTAATTTCTGTTTCTTCATTGTCCATTTTTTGTTGTTTGTTAGTGTTCACATAGATTTTTTTTGGTAGTGCAATTAACAAGTAAGAGATTTTTGAAATATTGCTTGCTATTAGGTAGTGCTCAAAGCCAAATTGATATCCAAAGTTATTGTCAATAATGAAATTGATGTTGAATAAGTAGAAAGATAATTATGGACATTACTGAATTGTCTTGTAGACTTTTTTTAATCTTCCCTATTATCAAGTTTATTTGATTTTTAAGAAGGTGGATGATATAGAAATTAATATCTGTATTTATAAAGTAATTGAATTTATAACTAAGGTAGATACATATATATGATAATACTTAATAAAACAACACAAAAATACTTTTTAAAAATATATACATCCTTCTATAGTAGTTTATTATTATTTTTTTTTTTTTTTAGAATTTTACTTTCAATATAGGACTATTTTTCAAACGTCATACTTTTTTTCATTGAAAGCTACTTACAAGAATTTAAAGTGTGGTCTTCAAACAAAACAGAAATTTGTGTCAGATGTTAGACTTCTGTATAGGTTGTTAACTGTTTGTGACTAGAAGAAAAGAAAACTACATACCAGTACATGTGTTATCTAATTAAAGTGTACCAAGATTTCTTGTTTTGGAAGACTGCATTTAATCTATCACATTGTTCACATATTTAACCGAGATTTTCATTGTCCAAACAAAAGATATCAGGATTTTTTTTTGAGGATTTTTTTTTTTTCGCTCTCTGTGTCATATTTTTCACAACATTTGTTGATCTTTGTGTAAAGATTTTTTTATATAAACATCCAGCACCAGAGTGGTTCCATTGAGATCTTTTATACTTGTCAAGTTTTTCATACTTATATACTTGTAGAGGGACTTAGAAATGAGGATATATGTACAACGATTTTTTTGTCTGATTTTGACACAGGACCTTCACTGATTTACGTAGAATGAACTTGTACTTCTAAGTTACCGGAGTAGACATAGTATGTATAAGAGTGAATTAGAACTCTAGCTGTATTCTCTACAATTCTTTACACAGAGAATCTCAACTCAAAACACAGTCTTGTGTATAAAGAAGTAGGTGATAGTAAATAAAACAATTTCCTATACACTGTGGTCTTTTTATGTGTTTGTTTTGAATGCAGATAAGACTGACATGGGAATGGGGCGTGGTGTGATTTTGAAAAGCTGATTTCATGGAAACATCACAGTTGTGTGAACGTTTTCAAGGCCAACCAGGGTTTTTTTTTTAATCCTTGTATATGCACTCAATACCACTCTTTTCCTTTGAAAAACAACCTCTGAGTTATACAAGTCAACATACATGTATCTGAAAAAAATATCTTTGATGCAAAGCAATAGAATTAAATTATTTTCAAAATTAAATAGCAGCAAAATGCATCTGATAAAAGTAAACATCTAACTTTATTTTGAAAAGATCATGTCCAAGTAGCTTTGAAGCCTTGGTCTTTTTCAGTTAACTTTTTATGTTTGTAAATTTTAACTTTTGCGTTAAATCTAAGAAATTTTTGAGAAAATGCATACGAGCATGTTCAGCATTTAAATGATCACAAACTTGGAAGATGCTATGCTCTAAATAACCTCTTTGTACTGAAATCCACATCTGGCTTATGTCAATGAGGTACATGGAAATTTCAAATGTAGTAAAATTCCTCTCTGTTTTGGATTCTGAAGTCTCTTGATCATTAGAAGGAGAGAACAATGGTGGCAAAAGGGCCGTTCCAATAATTTGTCATAAAATGTTAAAAAATGAAAAATATGTAATGGATAATATTTGCTCAGTGAAAAGCAATAAGCGCTGTAAGCGCGGACTAGTCTGTTTGATTGGTATTTGGAATGCTTTCATCAATTCAAGTTGTAAGTCGTTAAACAATTGCCGAATGATGTTACAAAGTAGAAGCATAAAATAAGGAGATGAGGTGCAGTATTCTGGCAAGCTCAAAAGTCCATGTAAACATTACAAGTCAGGAGCAGAGCAAACACAAACCTCTAAAACATCAGAGGTGGAATCAGATGCTATGTAGGAATAAACATTCCCGGTCGTTCGGTCACACAGCCTTGCACTCCTTTTCCTAATCGAGAGAAACGGGAAAAAATCCCAAGATAAATAGCCCAACAATTGGTACGAAAAATGCTGGTCAGCATTCAACATATTGATCGACTGTATATACGTATTTGCTGACAGGGTTTTTGTATGGATTATAGAATAGAACTAGTGTAATGATGACTTTAAACGAGGATACTAATTTCCTTGTTTCATTAACTTTTTGGTCAATTGCTTGCCTCATAAAAAAAAAAAAAATGATGCTCTTGCGTATAGAATCAACATGGAGACGACGCATGACGTAGTGGTTAGAGCGTCTGCTTTAGCGTGGCGAAGTAAGGAATGAACATCCTTACGTAGCGGGTTTGAATCCAACTGCATGTGGGACGTGGAAACCGGTCATTCGGCTGAGACCGTATAAACCGAGGTCCCGTGTCGCAGTAGGTACTGGCACTATTACAGCTCAAAATGTAATAAGTGATATGCACTTTTATTCATTTTGTGAGTACAAAGGCATGAGTTTACACATCGATAAATTCTGAAACAGAATTGCTAATCCTATAATATCCAACTAAGGAAAAACAAACAAACAAACAGAAAAAAACTTATTTTATTCATTAGGCACATTTAATTGTCTAAAAGAAAAATTTGAAAGAAGAAATTATGATTTTTGTGAATTTCAAAATAAAAAAAAATGATAAAATAGGTTAAATATAGTTAGTTTAACATGTTTAACTAGTGCTAATTGTAACGGGGACCGTTACAGATGTTCCCCAAACGCTCCCCATCTTCCGTTTTGATACCTTTCTCTACAAACTTTACTAAAGATGTGTAACACTTTTTTTATATTTAATACAATTTAAATATTTTAAGAAGTATTTTAATGGCAAACAAGGGCGTTCCATGTGAATAGAAATATTTAGAAAAGGCAGTTTTCCTATTTCAACAAGAAATTTAAAAAAACACTCAGACTCAGTAGCATGCGAGTCGCAATATTTAGAAAAGACCCTCTTCTCTGTAAACAAAAGACACCCGGCGTATCATGTGAATGGTTGTATTTAGAGGGTTCGTATATGGGAGATTATTTATTCACAAAGATTTTTTTTAAAATAAAAAAAAACCCACTCCCACGGCGGACCATGTGAATGGCAATGTTCAGACATCACTGCTAACTTTGACACAAGTAAACTATATATATGTATTCAGAAAATATTGTTTTCCTTTTAATAAAAAAAAAACACCACTCACATGGCGGACCATGTGAATGGCAATGTTAAGACATCACTGTCCCCTTACTATTTGTTAACTTTGACACAAAGTAACCTATAGTTGATTAAAAACAGGCCCTGCATCAGACAGCCTGCATTACTATAATAGTGTCTTAATGTGTATACAAGAAACATGTTGTCATCCCATGAGAATCCCTCGCAAGACATATAAAGACACAGATTGCAATTCAAGACATATAAGATTTTGTAATTTTTCGGAAACATTTTAAAGAAAGGAACTTTGTCCTTCTTTTTTCCAACATTACACTTTTTAGTCTTCCGAAGGGTCATCAGACAGCCTAGGAGACGACGACAATGTCATTCCGTATATTTTACTTTTTCGCCGTGCAGTGCAAGGGTTCATCAAGACGTCGCAATGTCATGATGCACGACACTGATTCCTCCTTTCAGAGCTCTCCATGCCAAGAAGAAAAATATTCCTCTAGCGTATATAAGAAAAAAAATACCCCTCACACGGCGGACCATGTGAGAGGCGGTAAGTATATGAAAATGACTGTCTGACTATTTCTCCACTAATTAAACCTGTAAGGTCTAAGTATGCCACATAAGAAACAACACATAACAAATGCTTTATGTCCAAAATGTATTGAACACCGTTTCGCCCTGTAAGGGCTCATCAGGCCGCCTAGCAGACGACGACAGTGTTTTTTTTTTTTTTTTCTCATAATCAATTAACATGTATGACAATAAATGTACAATAAACATATGCTCTATATTAAAATGGACATGAATTGAATAAAATCTGTATATAGCTTTAATCATTATTATCGCGCATCTGTAGAACATTTAAATTAATAAGTTACATCGTGCATTTTCTCTCTTATCCAATTAACATGTATGACAATAAATGTACAATAAACACAATTGTTATATTACAATAGACATGAGTTACATAGAATCTGTATGTACATTTTGCATTCTCATTGTGCATCTATCGAACAGTTGTTACATTGCTTTACAAATTTTACAATTTAATAGAAATCGCATCATGGAAACTATAATACAAATGTTCAATTGTCACATTTGGATCTTCTGGGAAGTCTTTTGCGAGCACCAAGTCGAGACAAGAGCCACTCTCTGTCGTTGGCTTGTTCACAAGTTGTTGGTAGCCATAGCTTGTAAACAACGTTTTTAGAGATGGTTTTCCAAGGTAGTTGTCATTGAAATCGCCCAGAATCAACACTGGGGAGGATATTTCTTGATTGATTTGGGATAATAGAGAGCTGATTTTGGCTTTAAACTTATCCATTGGATATATTGGAGGTCTGTATATCACGAACACCGCTACCGCTGTTGGTTCTAATATTTGTATTGACACACACTCTAAGTCCTTTACTTTGGTCGTGTACCTTGTATGTTTGACATCTTTTGTAAATATTGCGACCCCACCCTTAGCCTGTGATTTTAGTTGTCGAAATATGGGATCAGAGGATGTGTATGCATCCTCTCGATAGACTGCGTGAACATCTGAGTTTGGAATTAAGCTGGGAGGTACGTAGTCTTTCTTGGTAAGCCATGTTTCTGTGAAACATATAACTTGGGAGTCATTCACAAAACCAGCGTTTTCAATGTCTTTCCTATGTGAGAGGAGACCTTCTGTATTATGCAACAATAGTTTCAGACAATAACATTTGTCATCAACACCAGTTTGGAGGAGGTAGTTTGGCATGCTAGAAAGTGATTCCTTAATTTCTGCTGACGCAAAAATACAGTCTGTGTCAAAATGCAAGATATTGAGTCCTTGTAATGTAGTTGTTCTACTTAATGCTACATATGCCATTCCTGGTTGAAATATCTTTTGAAGTGAAACTACTACTTGTGTTGTTGTCATCCCTTGCACTTTGTGAATGGTTGCTGCCCAACCCAGCTTAAGTGGCAATTGTTTTCTGAGTGCATTTCGTCCTACAAGAACATCTTCATATGGCGTTATACGGACAGCTTTTTCTGATCCTTGTACATTTGAAACTGTGTTGGAGATGGCTTTTCTGCCAATGTTTTCGTTATCAAATTGTATATATACCGCATCGATGTCATTTCCCCTGACCTCTATAGCAGATATTGTACCAAATGCGCCATTAACAAGACCATCTTCTGTATCAATGTTTCTTGTTAGCATAACCCGTGCATTGATTCCAAGTTTGATTATGTCTGGTAGGTTTTCTGGCGATGAGGAGGAATAGGGTAGCTTTCGCAAGAGCAGCGTACCTGAGGTACTTTTTGTGTAATCTTTGGCTGTTGAGTACAGACATGGACTGCAGACTGTTTCTACCATCTGTTCATTGTGTGCATCCACTTCTTTGTTGGTTGAAAATATATGCAAAGCATTCTTTGACTCTATCGGAATTGACTCTTTAGAAACAGACTGAAGGAGTTGTAAGTCTGTTTGTTGCAATGGTTCTCCCCGCAATCGGACTCTTAGACGATTTAACATTTCGGCAAACTTTACATCTTCCTTTTGACGCATGATCTCAGACAGGCTGGCAATTTGGAATAATGGATTCCAGAGATCTAAAATTATAGAATCCTTTATCTTGTACAGAGGAGATGCCTTTACTGGAGGAAGCTGGTAGAAATCACCAACAGCTAAAATTGCAACATTTCCAAACACCTTCTTAGATTGTTTAATTTGGGTCAGCCTGCCATGGATGTATGTTAGAAGTTTGTGGTCTACCATCGAAATTTCGTCAATGATAAGGAGTTTTAAGTGCTCATATTTTGCTCTCAGCGAGTTTAGGATGTTTTCCCCCAAAGGCGT